GACGGTGCGGCGAGGGGGGGGGGGGGGGGAGGCAGGCAGTTGGCAAATGGCTACTCCTACAGAAGTGCACAAGGCCATAAACGGTCCCCGTGGTGACCAAGTGCTGGGAACAGGAGATACAGAGGCACACAGGAACTTGGAAAGGAAACTGGAAGTCCTGACCCAAGAAGAAGGAGAGGAGGAGGAGGAGATTGGATTTATACCCTGCCCTTCACTACCTGAAGGAGTCTCAGAGCAGTTTACAATGCCTTCCCCTTCCCCTCCCTGCAACAGACATCCTGTAAGGTAGGTTGGGGCTGAGAGAGCTCTCCGGAGAACTGCCCTTGATAGAACAGCTCTGAGAGAACTTGTGACTGACCCAAGGTCACATCAGTAGCTGCATGTGGAGGAGTGGGGAATCAAACACAGTTCTCACAGATTAGAGTCTGCACATTTAACCACTACACCAAATGAGGCTAGTTCCCTTCCTCATTCGCTGGCACCACTCACTGGATTGACACCGCCTTCCTAAGAACATAAGAACATAAGAACATAAGAGACGCCAATGTTGGATCAGGCCAAAGGCCCATCTAGTCCAACCCTCTGTGTCACACAGTGGCCAGAAATACCAGGTGCCCTCAGGAGGTCCACCAGTGGGGCCAGGGCATTAGAAGCCCTCCCACTGTTGACCCCCAAGCACCAAGAAGACAGAGCATCACTTGCCCCAGAGTCCCAATCTATACCTTGTGGCTAATAGCCACTGGTGGACCTCTGCTCCATATGCTTATCTAATTCCCTTTTGAGGGACAGCAAGGCCCCCTCCGGCTCATTCCCCAACCTGGGAAAGTGGGTACCTCGATCTTTGGGCACCCCCTGGAGAGTTGGCAGCCCCCTCCGATTTGGGCCCGTTTGGGCCTCCCTTTTGCCTCTGCTAACGTGCTGAGCGGGGTGGATTAAGGGGTCCAGGCACTTCCAGGTCTTATAACTCAAAAAGGTTTATTTGAACTATATACAAGTTAGGCACAAAAATTAACACAACCGGGCTCAGGAAATAAACAGGATTTAAACCACAATTCCTCTGTCCCCTACTCACACCCTCTCTCTACCTCTGGAGGTTGTGGGCCTCAGGATGGGATTTGCTTTCCCGTTCCTCGTTGTTGTGGAGGGAAACTCCAGCCCTCCTCCTCGGGACTGGTCACCTGTACTGCTACTCTCCTTGGCTCTCCACCACGGTTTATAGTGGCCCGGATTGGCCACAGAGCGTGGAGTAGCAGGAGTCCCACCTGTACGATCCCTTGAAGCTGCCATCCAAGCGGAGCCAAAGGCCAAGACTAGGCTGAGACTAAAAGCCTCCCAGGAGGGGCAGAAGCCTTTATCTGCCTAGCCCTGCCCCTGGGGTGGGTCCATACTTTCCCCCTAAAGCGGCTGGGAAATGTAGGCCGGGGGGGATGGCAGCCCCATTGTTCCCTATGGAGCACCTCCCCCCTCCTCCAGAGGACTACCCGACTGGCAGCCATTTTAAGGTGCTGCTGCCGCTGCCTGGCAGCCATTTTGTTACACCTGCTGTCTGTTGCCTTTGCCAAGGGGGAGCGGAGCCCTCCGAGACCATTCCCGACGCTCCCTCTGGACTTCAAGCCGCCCTGCCGCAGAAGACACGTGTCAGCCTGTTCCGCACCGGCTTCATCTTCACGCCGTACACGATCGGGTTCAGCATGGGTGGCAGCAGGAGGTAGAGGGTGGCCAGCAGGATGTGGGCCTGGTGGGGGACGCGGTGGCCGAAGCGGTGCGTCAGGAAGGAGAAGAGGCCGGGGATGTAGAAGACGAGGATGACGCAGCAGTGCGAGGCGCAGGTGCTGAGGGCCTTCAGCCGCTTTTGGTGGGACGGGAGGGCGAAGACGGCCTGGAGGATCATCGCGTAGGACAGGGCGATGGAGAGGACGTCCAGGCCCACCACGGAGAGGGCCACTGCCAGGCCGTACAGCCTGTTGACGGTGGTGTCCCCGCAGGCCAGCTTGACCACAGCCATGTGCTCGCAGTAGGAGTGGGCGATGACCCGGTGTCCGCAGAAGGGCAGGTTCTGGAGGAGGAGGGCAAAGGGGGTGATGAGGACCAGGCCGCGGAGGAGGATGGCCAGCAGCATCTTTGCGAGGGTGGAGGTCTTTAGGATGGCCGCGTGCCTGAGGGGGAGGCAGATGGCCACATAGCGGTCCAGGGCCATGGCCACCAGGATGCCGGACTCCACCGAGGAGAAGGCGTGGATGAAGAACATCTGGGCCAGGCAGCCATGGAAGCTGATGGCCCTGGGCCCCAGCCAGAAGATGGCCAGCATGAGGGGAAGGGTGGAGGTGGAGAGGACCAGGTCGGTGGTGGCCAGCATGGCCAGGAAGAGGTACATGGGCTCGCGCAAGCTGGGGTCCGTCTTGATGACCGTGAGGAGCACGGCGTTCCCCACCACGGCCAAGATGTACATGAAGCACAGGGGGACCGACAGCCACCGCTGGAACGCCTCCAGGCCTGGGATGCCGATCAAGAGGAAGGAGGAGGGCCTGGCCGTGGCGTTGCTCCCAGCAGACCTGAGGGCATCCGACGCGAAGGCTCCGCCGCCTGCAAGCAAATTGGAGAATTGGCACAGACAGCCAAGGGGGACTTCACACGGACACATGGAGCTGCCTTATGCCAAATCCGGCCACAGGGGATTTAAGTGGTGGGCTGGCACAGGGGATTTATCCTCTGGTTATAGTAGTAACATCTGAGCTGAACAGAGCTGCTGTCAGTTCTAGCCCCGTGCTGGTGTGAGCTACCAGCCTTGCCCCTAGCTTGTCGTCCACCCAGCGGTTCGAAAGCTTCAGCGAGTAGATAAAATGGGTACCATTCCTTAGAGAGGGTGGGCACACTAAACCCCCCGGTGGGGGAGGTGTTAGCCAGAGAACGGAATGTCCAGCTCGTAAGATTGGAAGCCTAGAAAGATCTCTTCAGCATCAAGAAGCCTGTAATGGGCTGTTCCGGCCAGGCGGTGGCAGTGCAGCATTGCGACTTGAATTAGACCTGGAGAAAGCTGACGTCATCAAGCCAAGCCGAGTGGAGAAATGCCGTCTGGAACATGTCTAGTCTACAGCTGAACAAATCCCCGTCGGCTGTGAACGTGTGCGATTTAAAGATTTATATATGTTGTCCTCCCTTATCCCCATGAATCATTGTTAGTCCCGTGTGTATATGAGTTGTAAATAGCTCAGAGCCAGCAGCTCTGCAGGATTGAGCGATTAATAAATTGAAAGATTTATTTATTTATTTATTTATCAGACCACTGAGGTCAGTCTCGTCTACTCAGACGGGCAGCAGCAGCCGTCCAGAGTCTCGGATGGAGGGTCTTTCCTATTATCTGATCATTTTTTCCAGCTGTGGATGCCAGGGATTGAACCCGGGACATTCGGCGTGCCAAGCAGAGGCTCCGCCACAGAGCCACAGCACTTTCTGTGCACAGCAGCAGGTCTAAGCTGAAGGGAGACACGACCCAGGCCGTTGCACCAACACATGGGAGACATTTCCTAGGGCATCCTGCCCTCTGCCACTTTCGCTGCAGCAGGGGACTGTGAGGAGGAGGCCCGTAGTCAGGACTTTTTGGTTTTTTTGGGGGGGGGATTTAAATTTTCAAGGGGGCAGTTAACGTACAGTTAATTTAATTAACCTGATTGCCTGTCTTTGAAGGAAGAGGCTCCAAGCCCGTCGCCTTCCTTTCTTTTTTCTTGGGTGGGCTGTGGCTCAGTGGAAGACCCTTTTCTTGGCATGCAGAAGACCCAGAGTTCAATCCCAAGCATCTCCGGTTAAAAGGAACAGTTTGTAGGTGATGCGAAAGGTCTCTCTGCCTGAGAGCCTGGAGCGCCCCTGCCAGTCCGAGTGGGCAAGACTGACCTTGACAGACAGACCAAGGGGTTCTGATTCAGGATAAGGCAGCTGCATGAGTCTCTCATGATGCGGTCCGGGCAGCATGGGTGGCCCCAGGAGCCAGCGGCTGGTGCCCTGCAAGGGCTTGGCTTGGCCCCGGTCAGTGCCTCAGAGAACATTTAATTGCCTTCAGGAGGCACTTCAGTGCCTTTTGGGTTCCCTTCCGCAGGGCAGGAAAGCTTAGGAGGACACTCAAGAGGGGCACCTTCAACTCATCTGCAAGAATCCCCCTTTCTGCCAGCCCAGTCCTGCTGTGGACCCCACCCAGGTCACGGTGAGTCTTTCAAAAGCATTCCCACGAGCCTTTGGGAAACATGCAAAAATAAGATTCCTGGCGTGGCTGTTTGTGGGGCGCGGCTTTTAATTAAGGGGGCAGGGTCCCCAAGTGCCCCACTGCGAGCTACGGGCCTGGGGAAGACCCTCTTCAGGTTGTGCGGGGCTGGGTCAGGAGCAGAGACCCTTCCCTTGGGAGCCTTCTTCAAGAGGTTCGGCAAAGGACGGAGGTGGCTTCGGTGGCAGGGGCAGACCCCAGAGAAGGAGCTGCATGAGCCACCTGGAGCCCAAGGAACAAGGAGTCCGGCCGCATCGGGAAGGTCAATGAACTTACGGTGGCAGAAGCAGACCTCACCCTCTGGCTCAGTACATGAATCAGTCTTTCAAGCACCCCAAGACTCTTTCTCTCGCTTCTGGGTGGGTTTAGGTTTCCCCAGAGGGAAAAAGAGTATGCCATGGGGCTGGCCAGGTCTGGGGTGCTGTGGCTCAGTGGAAGAGCCTTTTTTTGGCCTGCAGAAGATCCAGAGTTCAATCCCTGGCATCTCCGGTTAAAAGGAACAGTTTGTAGGTGATGCGAAAGGTCTCTCTGCCTGAGAGCCTGGAGCGCCCCTGCCAGTCCGAGTGGGCAAGACTGACCTTGACAGACAGACTGAGGGGGTCTGATTCAGGATAAGGCAGCTGCAGGAGTCTGTGTGCTCCTGTGTCTCTCATGATGTGGTCCGGGCGGCGTGGGCTGCCCCTGGAGCCAGAGGCTGGTGCCCTGCAAGGGCTCGGCTTGGCCCCGGTCAGTGCCCCTTGCTGAGGGCAACAAGACAATGATTATGATGATGATGATGATGAAGAAGAAGAGATTGGATTTATACCATCCGCCCTTCACTACCCAGAGGAGTCTCAGAGAGAGAGAGAGAGAGAGAGAGAGAACCTCCGCCTCGCCCTCTGTCCTGTATCTATTTTTCCAAGGGGGGAAGCCCTGCCTGGATCAGGAGCTTGACTGACCCCTGGAGCCCCCTCCCCCCCCAGTTCACATGGGACAAAAGTCCTCACTTGCAGCTGATTGTCGTGCTCAGGAATTCTATGCTAGGAACGTAATTCCTGGTGATGCATGCTGGGCCGGACGGGATGAGGACCAGTGTTGGGGGTGGGGGCAACAGGTTTGCACCCCCCTTTCCATGCATGCTGTGCTCCTGCTCCAGACTAGACCCGCACACACCTGGGAACCCCCAGAGCACAACTGGTTAACAGAAAGGAGGCGGATGCGCAGAAGGACAACGAGGACTTCCCCAAGGTGGGAGCTGGACCCTCAGTGACACTCAGATGCATTATTTGTCTTCCAGATTTATATCCCCCGCTCCCCCACTGCAAATGCAGCCTGAGATGGCCGACAACAATGCAGGGTAATGTGATTTAAATAAGTCAAATGCCCCGTAGCAGCTCACGTAATTTAAAGACAACAAAAGTAAATGGCAGTAAAATCAGTATAAAATTCTGGAAATACCAGTATCAACACCTGGAAGCGAAAAAAGCTGAACACTAGAGGGGAGTTTTAAACAGAGCTGTACAGAGACTGGCGGATTGGCAGTGATTCCACCGCGGCTTGCTAAAACGGCCAAAGACAAAAGACCCGCCACAGTAACAGGTCTCGGACAAATGCAGAGCAGAACCGTGATAAGACAGCCCTGGGGACGGAGTCCTGATGGACGCACGCAGAGGTAAAATTTACCTGCGGGGCAAAGAGGGAGTCGCAGGATCTCAGCTTTGGCACCCTGCCGAGGACGGGCACGTGAGGGTGGTGCACGGGTGTGCCGTACTGATCCTCCTGCCACCTTCTGCAGCCCCCACCTTCTCAGCCCACCTGACCAGTCCTTGGTTCAGTGCGGAGACATGTCTAAGGCGTTCCCTGGGCACGGATCAGGCCAACCAATGACGCCTTCTCTACCAAACACTCAAGGTGGGGAAGGCAAAACAGGGCCCTTTTGGAAGCACCGAATCCCAGGGCTGGAAGGGTCCCACGAAGGCCATCTAGTCCACCCCCTCTGCTCAGTGCAGGGTCATCCCTGACGAACATTCGCCCAGGCACTGCTTGAAGGCTGCCAGGGAGGGGGATCGGGGGCCCAGTGCTCTCCCTCTTCTGGGTTTTTCTCCTTCACACGCGTGCCGTTGGGTGTGGGGGGGGGGGGGGGGAAGCAAACAACCCTCCAAACAGTGTTGAGAGCAAAGACGCTTCCTGGGTGAGGAAGAGCCATTTGCAACGGATATTGTGGGACTGTCAGGAAGAGGATTGCCCTGCAGAGGTCGCATGAGGCCGTACGATTGTCCCCTGCCTGTCTTCCTCTCACTTTCTCTGAGTATGAGACCCTCTAGATCTCCCACCCCATTAAAAATAAAGAATAAAGGTCTAATTGTGTTCCCTCTCAGCTGAGTTAGTGTGGGCTAGCTCACAGTTTTTTAGCCTTCGGCTCACCCATTTTTGTCTTAGCCCAGAAAGGGATGGCTCCAGAGCAAAGAAGAAGAAGAGAAGAAGAGATTGGATTTATGTCCCACCCTTCTCTGCCCAAAGGAGTCTCAGAGCGGCTTACAAACTCCTTCCCCTCCCCACAACAGACACCCCATGAGGCAGGTGGGGCTGAGAGAGCTCTTGACAGAAACGACTCTTTTTCAAGGACAGCTCTTGTCAGAACTACGGCTTGCCCAAGGTCACTCAGCCAGGGGGAGGGAAAGGCGTTTGTGAGCCGCTCTGAGACACCTTTCGGTAGTGAAGGGCGGGGTATAAATCCAATATCTTCTTCTACTACTACTTCTTCTTCTTCTTTTCTCTTGTCTGCACTTGTTAGGGATCCGTGCATTTGGGAGGCTCTGAAAGAAACCCTGAGTTAAGCCGGCTGGTGGCCCTAACCCTAACCCTAACCCTAACCCAAATTAGAGTCTGCATACTTAACCATTACACCAAGACATTGGATTTATACCCCACCCTTCACTACCCAAAGGTGTCTCAGAGCGGCTTACAAACTCCTTTCCCTTCCCCTCCCCACAACAGACAGACACCCTCTGAGGTAGGTGGGGCTGAGAGAGCTCTTGACAGAAGCTGCCCTAGAGAGAACAGCTCTGAGAGAACTTGTGACTGACTCAAAGTGAGCAGCTCTAAGTGGAGGAGTGGGGAATCAAACCCGGTTCTCCCAGATTAGAGTCCGCGCTAACCACGACACCGAACTGGCAGTGCAGCACCCCCCCTTCTGACCTGCAGGGCCGGCGCTAAAGCCCTTGTTTGCCCTTTGCCCCTTCTTTCTCAGGCACAAGACCGATCCCTGTCAGGGTCACCTGTAGTTTTGGGCCCGGGCTTACCCATCAGGCGTATCCCTCCGTGCGCCAGGCTGCCTCTCGCCTTCCCATGATGCCTTTGCCTCGGCAGTGCCTACTGGACTCAGCTGCAGGTGATCATCGCTATAAATGCCCTTGTGCCTCCCCCCCCCCGGGCTGGTCTGTCCAGCATCCCTCCTCCCCGGGAGACCCCAGCAGCCTCTCGGCCAGGTGCTTTTGGCAGGAACAGCTCAGAATAGACTTGCCTCTGGGGGAGGCGCTTCGTTCCTTCCCTGCCCCCTTGAGGAAAGAGAGAACTCCAACTGTTGCAAGGAGAAATGACTCACTGAAGGCAGCCGGGAACGAGGGTGACACCAACAGAGCCCAGTGTCAGGTAGCCCTGTCATGGATCTGGAATGCGGAGAGGGGTACCCTCCTTCTCCTGCTCAGCTACTGTGCGCTATCTTATGCCTGACCTTGTAGAAGTTCCAGCTGCAGTTTACACGGCTAAAGTTAACGGCTTCTCTGCTCTGCCCGCTTGCTTTGCCACGCATGCGAGATATATCCATTGGCTTAGGCTCACAGGGGGGATGTTTGCTTTCACTATAAGTCAGAGGCCCTAGTACTGACGGCCATTCCTGACACAAGCTGTACGCGTGTTCTTTAGTACTGGACCCACTAATAAACAGTTCTCTTCTTGTGAAGCCCTGTGTGGTGTGACCTGACTACAGAGCCTGACACCCAGGGGGCTCCAAGCAGCCCTCCAGAGTGTGTGTGTGTGTGGGGGGGCTCATCTGTACCCCCTCTGGGGACCGGGGCTCCAATCTCTCATTGGCACCGTTGCTCTGATGCAGTACTGTCATATCATGACTCTCTTCCGTCACGCAGATCCTCCATCCCTGGGGGAGTGGTGGGCAGTGGCTGGTGGTCCCATAGGACTCTCCCCCCCGGTGTATGGTCCCGTGTGATGAGCTGTGCACGGTGTCATGTGTCCCCTGGGGATGGACAGCCTTCTGCCGCAAAGAATCCCCCCCCCCCCCCCCCCCCCCCCATGGAAGATGTTCTGGAGCATTTTGTTTGGGAGCCCTTTGCATGGTGTGACCACGCTGCTAGACGAGCCTCCTTCTCGTGTCAAGGATGCAACCAATACACTCCGGCTGCAATTAAAGTATTTAATCGTAAACGTAGTGAGGAATGCTCTACGGAGCTCCCATTTGGATAACGGCCTTTGATAAGGACGTGGAAAGTATTCAGTCTAACCTTCTTTGTAAGATTTCGGGCCTACCCTCTTGCATGCCATACGCAGCCATGTGTATTTATTTATTTTATTTATTTAATTGTATTTATAGTGTATAGTAACAAACCAAAGGCTCCTTGAAACTAGAGTATGGATTATTGCCATTACATTTTGGTGACACCTGTTTTTTAAAAGAGACAACAATTATCTTATTGCTCATATGTTAATGGAGTCCCAGTCTTCTACGTGGCTTTGTCATATAGAAGAAAAAAATCAATTCAGTTGGGCTTAGCATTGGAGACCTATATCTGTACACAGAAAAGTCAGCCTTCAGACTGATCAGGCAAAGACTGGTTGACATTGAGAGGCAGGTTCTTGAGAGCCGTGCAAAAAGTAGATGCTCACCCCTTTATTTGGGGTCTTTACCTTTTGGGCATAGGGCTGAGTATCTAACTTGTTTAATGAACCCGGGGCAATGCAGAGCATATATGTTAGCCAGGTTTAATGTGTTGCCATTAGCAGTATTATACGGGAGATCCCAAAAAATCCCATTTGACCATAGATCGTGTATTTACACTAAGCAGGAGATAGAAACTCTTGAACATGTGTTTCTTTCATGTACTTTCTACTCGGACCTGCGCCTTACATTCGCCGAGCCACGGTTGAGAAAGTATTCAGGGAAATCTGATACATGTAAGATTTATTTTTTGCTGACAACCCAGAATCACATAATAATTGAAAGTGTTGTAAAGTTTCTGTATGAAGCTTCAAGAAAGCGTTCAGTATTCCTTGCAAATTGAGCCTTATGTTCTCTATTGTTATGCCAATAAGGGCCGATTGATTGATTGATTGATTGATTGTGTCAAGGATGGATGAGGAGGGGAAGCCCAAGGGTAGTTTTGGGGATGCAGGGCTTGGCAGGAGCCCAGCGGAGGGGAAAACCCAGCCTCTGGGCTGGTCACCGTGGGCGGGGGATTCTCTTCAAGAGCAGCGGCATTCCCATGATGTGGTTGCGGCTCAATAGCCGTCATGGCACACAAGAACCTGCTGGTATCACTTGGGTTCTCTTGATTCTACTTGAGAGAGCCAGTTTGGTGTAGTGGTTAGGAGTGTGGACTCTAATCCCGGAGAACCGGGTTTGATTCCCCACTCCTCCTCCACATGCAGCCAGCTGGGTGGCCTTGGGTCAGTCACAGGTTCTCTCAGAGCTGTTCTCTCAGGGGCAGTCCTTGAGAGAGCTCTCTCAGCCCCACCTATCTCACAGAGTGTCTGTTGTGGGGAGGGGAAGGGAGTTTGTAAGCTGCTCTGAGACTCCTTCGGGTAGCGATGTCATCTAAGCATAGCTGCCATGGCTAGTAGGGAGGGGAGGAAGATGTTGGTCTGCATCTCTACTGTTCTTATCTCTTTAGCCTAAGCCTGTGACCTTGGTACCTTGCTGTAGCTTTCCCCAGAGAACGTAGACCCGTTGGGTTAGGTGGGCTCTTGCTAGCTCCCTGATTGGACCAGGGCCATCAAGGGACCCCTTTGAAGTATGTATAACTCCCCGCCGCGTGCGCTTTGAATCAGTTCCAACACAGAATGTAGGCACAGAAGGACCTGCCTTTACTGTACTCAATAAACTTTACTCTTCTGAATGAAAGAAAATTGTCCCAGAAAATAAGTCTGTGTTTATGCCTTAATCAACTGCTTTTACTTTAGGTGGGGAAGTTAAGACACGGGTTGCTTCTCAACCAGTCTGTTTTTTCTGTAAGAGGGAGGGGCATGTAAGAGCTGAACGTGCGGCTTGGGAAGAGAAAAAACGAAGTATTGGGAAAACTTGGACTCCAGCTGTACATCATATTGATAGAGCCTTGATAGAGAAAGGAGAGGATACAGCGGCCTGTTGCCGAGGGAGTGGTCCGGTTGCCAGGTAACCAGCCTGATCTAACAGCTGTAAGTTCCTCCATCCCTGTTGCTGCCCCTATTGATAATATTAGGATCAGAGCACCTGCTTCTGTACCACCTTATATGGATGGGACTCGAATGGAGTATTCTTATCCCATTAGTATAAATCATGTTGCCATTTCTGCTTGGCACGACATAGGATCAGACGGTCCATCTGGTTTTAAAGATTTGGTTCTAGCTTATCAGACCCCCGTGGGATCCTCTGTTGATTTAAGAGCTGAATGTGCGGCTTGGAAAGAGAAAAAACGAAGTATTGGGAAAACTTGGAACACAGCTGTACATCATATCGATAGAGCCTTGTCTCAGGCAGAGAAAGGAGAGGAGCAGCGGCCTGTTGCCGAGGGAGTGGCCCGGTTGCCAGGTAACCAGCCTGATCTAACAGCTGTAAGTTCCTCCATCCCTGTTGCTGCCCCTATTGATAATATTAGGATCAGAGCACCTGCTTCTGTACCACCTTATATGGATGGGACTCGAATGGAGTATTCTTATCCCATTAGTATAAATCATGTTGCCGTTTCTGCTTGGCAAGACATAGGATCAGATGGTCCATCTGATTTTAAAGATTTGGTTCTACCTTATCAGACCCCGAAGGATCCTCTGTTGATGATGTCTGATGCCACTGAGTCTACTTTGCAAACTGTGGCTAAAGTGGAGGTTGAGTATCAGGGAGATTCTGGTAAATTGGTACATCAGCAAAAAAAATTAAAAAGTCTTCTGAGAGGCCTAAGGAGTTTGCTGATAGCGGTGTGCAAACTGAAGAGAGTGTACCTCCTTTTGGCAAGCAAGGCTTCACAGGGAGAGACCTAAGGAGTTTCACAGGGAGCAGACAACTTCCTTGCCAGGAGGGAGGTGGGGAGGTTGCAGGAAGAATGGGGGTGCCGGAATTTCCCCCTGCTCATGTGCTAGAGGACAGGGCAACTTCTTAGCTGGCAGTACAGATGGGTTCTATTCTGGAGGCTGGCCGTGAACCAGTTAAGGTTCCTGCTCATTTGGAACCACAGCACCTTATAGCTGATGCCAGTAGATCTGCTTGGGCCACCTCCCTTACTTCTGCACAGAATTTAGTTAAAGCGTTGTTTTGTTATTTAGCGATTCTAAAAGTGCATGGTTCAGACCTGGGTTCTAAAATGATGTTTAGATATTGGAGATGTATAACAACGTGTTCGTTTGTTGTTTTAATCAATGTACTTGATATTGATCTAGTGTTATGAAATATTTGTATTTTATTGCTATGTCGATTTGTAAGAGACTAGATGTGTAGGTAGGGTACTTTTTCTTTTAGCACAGTATGATGAAATTTGGGATAATTTGGAAGGGGCTGTGGCTCAGTGGCAGAGCATCCGCTTGGCAAGCAGGAGGTCCCAGGTTCAGTCCCCGGCATCTCCAGTTAAAGAAGGACCAGGCAGGAGGTGATGTGAAAGACCTCTTTGCCTGAGACCCTGGAGAGCTGTAAAGAGGGGCTGTGGCTCAGTGGCAGAGCACCTGCTTGGCATGCAGAAGGTCCCCGGTTCAATCACTGGCATCTGCATCTAAAGGATGGTAGCCGGTGATGTGAAAGACCTCCACGCTCCACCTGAGACCCGGGAGAATCACTGCCAGTCAGAGTAGACAAGACTGACCTTGATGGATTGAGGAGGAGGAGGAGGAGATTGGATTGATACCCCGCCCTTTACTACCCAGAGGAGTCTCAGAGAGGTTTACAATCTCCTTTCCCTTCCCCTCCCCACAACAGAAGACCCCCTGTGAGGTGGGTGGGGCCAAGAGAGCTCTGACAGAAACGGCTCTTTTTCAAGGACAGCTCTTATCAAAACGACGGCTTGCCCAAGGTCATCCAGCAGGTGCAAGTGGAGGAGTGGGGGATCAAACCCGGCTCTCCCAGATTAGAGTCCGTGCACTTAACCACTACAGCAAACTTGAGGGGTTGATTCAGTATAAGACAACTTCATGTGTGTTTAGGGAGGGGCTTTGGCTCAGTGACTGAGCACCTGCTTGGCATGCAGAAGGTCCCAGGTCCACTCCCTGGTATTTTCAGTTAAAAGGCCCAGGCGGGAAGTGATGTGGAAGATCTCACCTGGAGAGCCACTGCCAGTCCAGCTAGATAATAAGGATACGAACTTGGAAGAACCGATGGTCTGATTTGGTCTAACGTAGCTTCATGGGCTCAGATGCCTCCATAGGGGGGCACATCTGTCCTCCTTGCTCCTGATTGCTCCAAAGCGGTCAAGTCTTTCTGCTTGGCAGAGCTTCTGAGGAGGCGGAGGGCCTCTGGCATAGAGGGCAGCCACTTTCCATCTGGTCTGCTGGCATGGGGTGGCTTCTCCACGCTGTCACTGATGGAGTCCCTGTTCTCCATACCGTCTGTTGTCTTGCAGTTACGTAAACTGCCTTCTGGACCGCTTTATATAGAAAGGCAGCAGGATAAAGGATAAAAATAAACCTCTGCAGCTGTTGTCGGGTTAATTGGTATGGTTAGTCCAGTACCCACTCGTTAAAGAAAGCGACACACGCAGGAGTGTCTTTGTATAAAAGGTCACCCAGCTTACAAAGCTACACAGAGCCACTTTCCTAGTTTAAGACTAATACTAGTCGCTTTCCCCCAGAACTACAAATTTAAATAGGAAAGCTTAGAGATAGGGCAGTATTCTAGTCCAGCTACCTAAGGATGGGCACCAATGTTCCCTCTAAGCTGAGTTAGTGTGAGCTAGCTCACAGTTTTTTTAGCCTCCGGCTCACACATTAGCTCCAGAGCAAACTAACTTATGCAGTAGCCAAATCGCTCGCTCACAACTTTAATGCCAGTAGCTCACAAAGCAGAATTTTTGATCACAAGACTCCACAGCTTAGAGGGAGCATTGATGGGCACAGATGCCCTCTGTGTTGTGGTGCCAAGATGAGGATAGCGTGAGAGAGAAGGGAAAGGAGTTCTGGGAGAGGATGAATGGGAGGGAGGGAGGGAGGGAGGAAGGGAGGTTCCCTGAGGATACCATCTGCATCGCGAAGGGGAGAGTGAGTGGCAGGAGAGGGTAAACACAGGAAGGAAGCTGGGGGTTTTCCCTCTCTGGCCACCTGACTCTGTTGCCACCAGGTCTGGAGGCTGAGGGAGGCGGGAACAGCGTTCCAGCCCTTCACTTCCAACGGCTGTAGCCAGGGAGGCTCTGTAATCTCCAGCGCACTTTTCCCAATCTGATCCCATGAAGCCCGGAACTTCAGGCACCTTCTCCCTCTCCCCACCCCCCACCCCGAGTGTGTGGGTGCACCTCTGGACTCCACAAAGACTAACAAAATTTGTGGCGGGGGATGAGTTTTCGTGGGTCGCTGCTCACTTCTTCATAATGCCCTGCTGCAAAATTCAGACACCCTGCCTACCTCACAGGGTGTCTCTTCCGGGGAGGGGAAGGGAAGGGGGCTGTAAGCTGCTCTGAAACTCTGTCTTCTACTGTATTTGTTACCCCTCCCAATTTAGTATCTTCTGCAGATTTAATAAGCATTCCCTCTGGTCCTTCACCCAAATCATTGACAAAGATGTCTATTTTGGTGCCAGTTTTGGTGCCAGAGAGCCAGTTTGGTGTCGTGGTGAAGTGCGCGGACTCTAATCTGGGAGAACCGGGTTTGATTCCCCAGTCCTCCTCCACTTGCACCTGGCTGGATGACCTTAGGCCAGCCGTAGTTCTGACAAGAGCTGTCCTT